ATATTTTATTTAATATTTTTTAATAATAATAATAAATAGTAAATTCAATAAAAGTATATATTTTTAAAATACAACACAGAAAACCGATGAAATAGATTTTCTTACAGTCATATCATGTATGAGACACCTATCGTATTAAAAATAGTTGATCATAATTCGTCATCGTGAAGTATTTTAAAGTTAAAAATTAAAACGATCATAAAATTTTTTATAGTTTTTTTATAATAAAAAATAAATGTTATTTAATTATTTCTTTTAATCATTGTTTAGTATATAAATTCCTTTTCTCAAGAAATCAACAAAATTAATGGGGAATGAAAAAAGTGCCCTTAATGGGCTTAAAATTGATGAACAACCTGTGGAAATAACAGATTTTTGGATACATTATATGGCTTATATGAATGGTCATAATATACAAAATATTTCAGTATTTATCAGTGAACCATCTTTGCATTATAATGCAAATTTTGGAAATCCATCGCCTTTAGAAAAAGCTGCAAAGGTTAACGTTAATATATTAATTACTTTGCATATATAGAATTTTATACATATAAATATTATATACGTTCATTTTTTAGTTTTTTTAATGATATTATTTTAATTAAATAAATAATTATTGTTTACAACAATAATAGACATATGTTTCAGAATTTAATGTTATATAGACATCCTTGTATATTGAAGTATGTTTCTTCATGGTCGAAAGGTGATAAATTTTTTCTAGCTACTGAACAAGTTAAACCTTTAATTCAATCAATAGAAAATCAAAGTACATTGCAAATATGCATAGGCCTATATAGTATTTTACGTGCATTGGTTTTTCTTCATGAGAAAGCATATATGTCTCACAATAATCTTTGTGAAAGTTCCATTTATGTTACACTAGAAGGATGTTGGAAACTTGGTGGATTAGAATGTTTATGTAAATTTAAAGATTTAACTTCTTTTTATTTGCAAAGGATAAGAAAGTATAGATATGAAAAAGCAATATCTTCTAATGAAAATACAATTTTCATTTCAAAAAATTTTAGAACAATTGATGTATATGCATTTGGAGTTTTAGCAGAAGATATACTGAAATTAAAGGATCCAGGTAAATGATATAAGAATAATTTAAATTGTAATTTATCTAGAATAGTTATAAATAGGAAATGTCTTATTCTATTTTAGCCGATGTACCTAGTCTTTTAGAATTTAAACAATTTTGCAAAGAAAATTTGCAAAATCCAGATCCTTCTTTACGAACTGAATTATCTCATATACTTCAACATCCATTTTTCACCCATGATTTCATGAAAATATATGCATTTTTAGATGAATTACCTTTAAAAAATAGCCAAGAAAAAGAAATATTTTTTAGGTAAATATTTTTTATAAAAGTATAAACAAATTATTATTGATTCCATAAAATTAATAAAATATTAAGTTATTAATTAAATAAGTTATTATTATATTAATTAAATAAAATATTTGAATTAATTTTTAATTATAGAAATTTTTTTTTAATTACAGAACCTTAATAAAAAAATTAAAGATATTTCCTGAAAATATTATTGCAGAACAATTAGGTCGTTTATTGCTTTCAAGAATGGTTTTATTAGATATAACAGCTCAAGAACAGCTTTTACCATTTATTTTAAAACCAAAAGGTAAAACTAAGTAATAATATATTATTATACTTAATTACTTATTATTATACTATATAATACTAATAATTCGAAAGATTTCATG